GTGGTGTGTGTGTGTGTGGTGTGTGTGTGTGGTATGTGTGTGTGGTGTGTGTGTGTGTGTGTGTGGTGTGTGTGTGTGTGTGTGGTGTGTGTGGTGTGTGTGGTGTGTGTGGTGTGTGTGTGTGCAGTGTGGTGTGTGTGCGGTGTGTGTGTGGTGTGTGTGTGTGTGTGTGCGGTGTGGTGTGTGCGGTGTGTGTGTGTGGTGTGTGTGTGTGTGCAGTGTGGTGTGTGTGCGGTGTGTGTGTGTGGTGTGTGTGTGCGTGTGTGAGTGTGTGTGTGTGGTGTGTGTGTGTGTGTGTGTGTGTGTGTGTGTGTGTGTTGCCCATTTCCCCCAGCAGAATGTAAACTCCAACAGGGTTGCTGTTTACGCCAGCTTTCTTGGCTGCTGTACTCCCGGCGTCTGGAAAAGCGCCCAGCTCCGAGAAGGTGCCTAATAGACATTTGTTACAGTTCTCTCCTGAGAGTGTATTTCCGAGGTAGACTTTTCCCCTGGCTTAATTCACACGCAGGAAGCACCTGATGGGAAGTGGTTTGCTCTGCAAGGCCCTAGCCTGGTGGTAGTATTTGCTAGGCATGCATAAAATAAGGCTTGGTTCAATCTCCCAGAACCTTAGAAAACCAAAATGACAAAAGCTTGTAAGGCAGAATGAAGGTCTTCAATAACATCTGGGGGGGGGGGGGGTCTCACTCCGGACTGAACACTGATGCTGTCTTCCAGAAGAGTCTCTCTGTTTTGAACATGAACTAACTCAGGACATAGTCATGGAGGGGGAGTGTTGATTTATTTTAGCTGATATGTTTTGCTTGAAAAAAATCAGAGAACTATTACCCCCTCCCCTTTGAGACAAAGGGCCACTATGTAGCACTGGCTGGGTAGACCAAGCTGGCCTTGAACTCACAGAGCTCTGCCTGCTTCTGACTTTTGGATGCTGGGATTAAAGGTGTGCACCACCATCAAGCCTATCTAAGCCGATGACCTCAAACTCCCTATGTAGCCAAGGATAGCAAACTCCTGCTCCTCCTCCCTCCCCCCTCCCCAGCACCACCACACCTACTCTGTGTGTTCTTAGGGATCCCAGGGCTTCCCGCATGCTAAGCAAGCATTCTACCAGCGCAGCCACAACCCCAGCCTTCCACACCGAGTCAGTGTCCTAGCTGAGAGCCCTGCTCTCTACCCCTGACAGGAAACGAGCTGGTGTAGACATAATGTGGGGTCTATGATAGCACCCCCACTCCTGCCTGAGCTGGTCACGCCCTGGAGCCGGGACAGATGGCACTGGCTCTGTCTGGGCATCTTAAGTGGCCTCGTCCAGTTTGCACACTACAGCCCACGCCCCTCCCACTCCCCCCAAGTACGGAATCCCTGTGGGTTCCGTCTAGGAGCCTGCTGTCCCAACAAGCACAGATGCTTCTGGAGGGGACTAGAAGGAGTGTGGTACCCAGCAAAGCTCCCAGCATTGCCCGGGCTCCAGCTGGGGAGCCGGTGGGCAGTACTTGCACTCACTTAGGTATTGTTATGGACTTTCAACAGTGGGGGGGGATATTTTCATAGTGATTTTTAACGTTTGAAAAGAAAGCCAGCACTTCATGCGTGATGTAAATGGCGATTATCTATTCAACCTAACAGGCATGTATTATGTGCCTACTGTGTGCAGGGCAAAATTTTAACTGAATCAGATAGTTCCCATTGTCCAGGCGCTTAAGAGCCACAGCCGGAAGCTCTGCAGATAAAGCAGCCTTGATAGATGGGTGGCAAGGCTGCCGTTGAAGTGTTTACAGGTACAATGGGAACACAGGTGGCAATTAATTCCACCTGAGGAATCAGGAAAGGCAGCCAGAGGGAAGATGGCATTTCCCATCAGCCTTGAAGGACCCCAGCCAAGGGAGCAGCGGGAACAGAGCCTGAAGAGAAGAAGCTGTGGATGCGGTTTTTGAGGAATTGGACCAAAAGCCTGGGGTCCTGTGGCCTTGAGGACACGAGGAAGGGATGGAAGGCCCTGGAGGCCAGCCAAGGAAGGCAGGTGGTGAAATCTCAAAGTGACTGTGGCTTTGCACAGGGCTCTCAAGATCTTGAAGTGGAAACAGGAGCCCCAGGAGCCCATCAAGAATGATGGCTTGGACCCAGGCCAGTAGCACAAGCCTGTCATCACAGCCTCCGGAAGGCAGATGGAGGAGGACCTCAAGCTAAGACAGTCATGGCTGCATAGCAAGACCCTGCTTCCAAACCTAACAGACGAGACGGCGTAGTGTGTGCCCTGTAAGCCCAGCACTCAGGAGAGTCAGGGGCTCAAAGTCATCTACTATACAGTGGGTTGGAGGCCAACCTGGACTACATGAAACCCTGTCACAAACAACAAGTAAGGCCTGCTCAGTAGCTGGATAAGTAAATGGGACCAGGAGGAGGAAGGTACAGTTGTCCCTGGGGGTTGTGGGATAGAGAAGAACCAGCCTTAATAAAGCCTGGCCTGGAGGAGGGCCAGAAAGAGGGAGGGACCTAAATGTTCTGGTCCTGCTTGGTCAGCAGGGCTGAATCTCTGATCTCGCCCTCTTTCCCTGGCTGCCGCTGGTTGGTCCACATCCAGACCAGAAATCCAGCGGGTTCTGTCAGAAGCCTGTTCTGGAAGACCTACGCAACACACGGACAGCAAAAGCCTCTCCGGCCTCCTGGCCTAGTGCAGGCTCGATGCTCAGCCCAGTAAGGACAGAGATGTAGGGCAATTTGTTAGAAATAAGTTTGGGGTTGCAAAGAAAGGCCACTCCTCCAACCTAAATGTCTGGACAAGGCAAACTTTGCTTTTGATCAAGAGGGTACGATTAGAAAATCAAATACATGAGACAGGACATACATTAGGTTTTATTGTCCAATTGGCTAGTCTGAAAAGAATCGACCACAGGAAATGAAGGAGAGACAGGAAGGGATCACTGCTCCAGGTCATCGAATTTCTGGAATATAGTGGGGGCCTATGTGTAAACAAAGTTTGCTGCATGGGGGGTTTAAACATTGCCATAAAAATTCTACAAGTTGGAGGGAGATAAAAAGATTTAAATTCCTTGTCCTAAACACAAATGTTATAGCATTTGATAGAAAAGACCGGATGTTGACAGTCCTCACAGAACCTAAGTGGCTTCCTGGGAGACAGACTTGAATTTGGGGCAGGGAACAAGGCAGAAGCAAAGGACCAGACAGGTCCCTAAAGCATTCAGAACCCTCAGAGGAGTCCCCTGCAGCAGTCTCCCCCTCAGGGAAGGAGCTGCTGGATAGTGAGGTCTGAAAAGCCTCACACCAGGCTGCAAAATTAGTATATAAAAGAAACTTGTTTGCAAAAAAAGAAAGCCAGAACTAACCTGTCCAACCCCCTCCCTCAGTCATCCCCACCAAGGCCAGCAGAACAGATAGACCAAGCTCCAGAAAGTCAGAACATGCAAATATATGCAAATAAGAAACATATGCATAATGCAAATGACCCATGAAGGTTCCACTCATTTGTGTGCAGAGCTGTTGGGTGGTTAACCTTCCTCCTGCTTTCAGCCCACCTCTTCCCTTGGAAATGTACCCTACACACACCCCTCCCAAACACACACACCCCTCCCAAACACACACACCCCTCCCAAACACAGGGTTTCTCTGTACAGCCCTGGCTATACTGGAACTCGCTCTGTAGACCAGGCTGGCCTTGAACTCACAGAACCACCTGCCTCTGCCTTCCTAGTGCTGAGATTAAAAGTAATAGTGCCCAGCTAAAGATTTATTTATATATTTTGTCGGGCAGTGGTGGCACACGCCTTTAATCCCAGCACTCGGGAGGCAGAGGCAGGAGGATCTCTGTGAGCTCGAGGCCAGCCTGGTCTCCAGAGCGAGTTCCAGGACAGGCTCCAAAGCCACAGGGAAGCCCTGCCTCGGAAGAAAGAGAGATTTGTTTATGTATTTTATGTTATGGGTGTTTTGTGAACCCTTATGCCCGGCCATCTCTGCGCTAATTTGTTGGCTGGACCCCAGGGCCTGCATCACAGAGGGTTGTAAGCCTCTGTACGTTGTAGGAGGGCAACCAGTGCTCCTAACCATTGAGCCATCCCTCCGCTCCCTTCTTTCTTATTGTCTTCATCCAATTGCTTTCCCCAGGACATAAGAACCTGGAGATAATCCCGACCACGCATGCCCATGAACCCCACTATCTATACCTATCATTCTGGCCTAGGGTCCTGAGAGAAAGAACTTGGCTTCCCAGCAAACAAATTAACCCAGAGATTCCAACAACTCATCTTGGGTCACACAGCCAGTTAGTGGCTTTGTGAGAGCCCAAACTCAAGTCTGTTTCCCCAAGGGAGGTGGCCAGGCCTGGGTAGCTCCTCCTGGTGAAACATTCCAGCCTTCTTGGGATCACAGTAGTGACTGGAGGCCTCCTGGGACTCTGGGTTCTGTGGGCACCGGGAATGGGGGCACACTGTAGACCTGGTGCAGGGGTGAGTGTGGGGAGGCCTGGGGCAGGGCCTCAGACCACAGCTACCATTTTCTTCCCAGCTACCTTCCTGAGCTTCCCTAGACTCGCCTCCAGCACCTCAGCTTGTGGAACAAGCTGCCGGGCCCACCAGGGCAGCCTGGGGAAAGAAGCCTTGTGGTCAGGCTGGGTGGTGGAGATCAAGGGAGAGTGAGTACAATACCCAGGCCTGCAGACTGACCCTCTGATGCCAGGCAAAGTGCTATGCAGAAAAGGGGCTTGTGCCCCAAATTAAAGGCGTCCCGTTGTGGTGACCCCTCCAGGCTTCAGGAGCCACAGCCAACTCCGTGGCTTGTCACCCCTGCCCACCACCCTGGATTCTCTGTCTTCCACATGCCCCATCCTCCCTCCTGACACCCTCTCCCTCCTCTCTCTATCCTCTGCTCCCCGTGCCCCATGGGTGCTGTTTTTCTTTGAGCAGCCCTTCCTCCTAGCCCCTGTCTCTAATGCACCTGGGGAAGCTCTCCAGTGAGGGAGAGAACACCCCTACCTTCCTCTCTTCCAGAACTGTTTTTGAACCTCAGTGACTCCAGGAGAAGACAAAGGAGATCGTCTGAGGGTGCCTGTGCCGCCCCTCCCAAAGGGGAGACAGGGACCAAACGGGAATGAGCTGAAGCCTAACACCAGAAGTGACCCCCCTGCAGCGAAGGGACCCTGGAGAGCGGTCCTCTTCTCCCTCCTGCTCCTGCAGCCTGAAGAATGCCTGTCACCTGCTAATGGGACCCGGCAGGTGGAACCAGATTGCAGGTTGAAATGAAGATGTCAGACCACAAGGCAGGGGACAGTAACCAGCCCTGGCAGCTGTTCAGCCAGCAGAACAGACCCCTCATCGCCTGCCTCCCAGGGGCCTCAGCTCGAGGCTCTCTTCTCCCCTCCACCTGCAGCCCCAAGATGAAGGCAGAATTGTTGCAGAGGCACCAACTACACACCACGCTGGACCCACTGATCCGTCTTGACAGACCAGGCTTAAGGTTTTCAAAACTTTTTTAATGGAGAATTTCAAAACCAGAAATGGAGCTGGAGAGAGGGGCTTTGTGTTTAAAAGCAAGCCCTGTTCTTGCAGAGGACCTGAGTTCAGTTCCCAGCACGCAGGATGGGCCTCTCACAACTGCCTGTAACTTCAGCTGCAGAGAGATCTGACACAAGCACATGCCCACGAGCGTACACAGAATTAACACCGGGGGAAGCCAGCTGTGGCGGCGTGCACTTTCAATCCCAACACACGGGAGGCAGAAGCAGGCGGGTCTGAGTTTGAGGTCGGCCTGGAACAGGTGAGTTCCAGGACAACTAGGGCTACACAGAGAAAACCTAAACAAAGCAAAAAAGCAAAAAGGAAAGACAAATGCAGAGCATAATGGAAAGATCCTGAAAGTGGTGGCCGCTGCCAACACCGCCATGGCCACACTCTCCCGTTGTCGTGAAGCAAGTCCCATCAGCACACCATTGCTTCTGTCAATGTCTCACCGCGTATCTGTGTTAGTTACTGTGGTTGTGACAAGATACCCGACAAAAGCGACTCAAGACAGGGTTTACCTTGGCTCACAGTGGGCAGACGGACATACACTACTGTGGGGAGGCGTGGCAGCAGCAATGTGAGGCTGTTTGTCCCGTTTGTCCGTTGGTCTCAACACAACCACTGTCAGTAAAGGATGAAGCAAAGGATGAAGACTGACGCTCAACTCACTTTCTTGTTTCCTTATTCACCGTTAGGATCGCGCTGTCCACATTCAGGGTGGGGTTTCTCTCCTCAGCCAATGCTTTCTGGAAACATCCTTACAGATGAGCCCAGGTGATCTAATCCAGTCAGGCTGACTATGGAAATGGCAGCACCCACAACGTCTCTAAAAGATAAGAGCTCTTTGATGCTTGTTTGTTTAAGTTTTGTTTTCTGAGACAGGGTTTCTCTGTAACTTTAAAGTTATGTATACCAGGCTGTCCTGGCACTCACTCTGTAGACCAGGCTGTCCTCGAACTCACAGAAATCCACCTGTCTCTGCCTCCCGAGTGCTGGGATTAAAGGTGTGCACCACCAACGCCCGGCACAAAAGAGCTCTTTGTAAACTGTGTTACGTTCTTTATTATAGGATATGTGCTCATCTACTTGGAGTCAAAGGCCAGCTTGGGGAGGTCGGTTCTCTCCTTCCACCACATGGGTCTCAGAGATCAAAATCAGATCATCAGCCTCGGTGGCCTGTACCCTCTGAGCCTTCCCCACACCTGGCCCTTCATTTCTGCACAGGGTCAAAATACCCCTATGGGGCTGGAGAGATGGCTCAGAGGTCAAGAGCACTGGCGGCTCTTCCAGAGGTCCTGAGTTCAGTTCCCAGCACCCACATGGTGGCTCACAACCATCCATAATGAGATCTGGTGCCCTCTGCTGGCCTGCAGACATACATGCAGGCAGGATGTTGTATTCATAATAAATAAATAAATCTAAAAAGAGAAAAGGCGCAGGCAGGATGGGGCAGCAGGTAAAGGCACTTACACCAGACCTGACTGCCTAAGCAAGGTCGATGCTTGAAGCCCAAAGGTGCAATGAAAGAAGCAACTCCTGCAAGTTCAAGTTGACCTCTGACCTCCACACTCATGGTAGCATGTGTGCCTAAACACCACAGGCGCGTGCGCACACACACACACACACACACATATTAAAGAAAAAAAACCTAAACCAAAACACCCAGCACTTGGGAGGCAGAGGCAGGTGTATCTCTGTGAGTTCGAGGCCAGCCTGGTCTACAAAGTAAATTTCAGGACAGCCAGGGCTGTTACATAAAGAGACCCTGTCTTGAAAAAAATAAAAAACAAAAACAAACAAAACACTTTCTTTTATAAGTTGCCTGGCCATGGTCTTTATCACAGCAACAGAAAAGCAGCTAAGACGTCCACATTCACGAAAGGGAGCTACAGCTGAGCTGAGCCCGAGCGACTTTCAACTGTAACAGCCAGAAATGGAAAAGTGTTCTTGGAGTCATGTGGGGAGGGGCAGTTCTTTGTCCCCGAGGGCCAAGGATCAACTTGACAGACCTTTCCAACTTAGCCGTGTCTGGCTGGGAATGGGCAAGTTTGGTTGGGGGTGTGATTTTTGTAGGTACCATGGCCTCTCTGTCACTTTCCTTCCATTCAGAAGGGGGAGGAGGTTGGAGTGGGGAGCATTGTACTCGGAGGGGGGGTGTCACAGGCCACAGCAGAAGGCACTCTCAGGAGAGTGAGTGGCTTTAGCGTGAGTCCTAACTGGGGGAAGGGGGGGGTCCTAACTGAGGTGGGAGCCCACTGGCAGCGGGCTGGGGAGTGTCACAGAGACTCCAGCAGCAGGTGCCTCTGCTACGTTTCTTTACGTGGGAAGACCTGACGGAAAGCTGGCCTGCTCTTAGCCAGAAACTGCGGATGAAGGAAACCAAGCCTTTGTCCCAGCTCGAAGGGAGGGAGGGGTGGAGGAAAAAGCAATCGGCCTGAAAATGCCCCCTCGGGCAGTGGGAAGGGGGGTAACTGAGTGCCAACCTGGGCATCATGCTGGCAGAGCCGCTGCTGTGGATTTGGGAAATGTGTGAGAAATCCTTGGGAATCCCCTAAACCGGTTTGGCAAAGAACCCAGGAAAAACTGGATTTCTCCCAAATGGTGGGTGATGAAGGAAGCAGTCTTCTTGGGCTGGGGACACTAGAGACTGGATGGCGTCGCAAGGCCCCTAAGTGTCCCTGCTCTGTGGATGCAGCTCTTCATAGGGACCAGGGTTTCCTGGCTAGCTGGCTGGCTGGCCAGGGAGCCAGTGCTCTGGCTTGATGCCTCCTAAGTGCTCACCCATGTGTGCTAGGGCTCTCTCTCTCTCTCTCTCTCTCTCTCTCTCTCTCTCTCTCTCTCTCTCTCTCTCACACACACACACACACACACACACACACACACACACACACTCTGCTGTGCTGTCTGGCCTCCAGTAGGCTTCCCCACCTGTCCAAGCATTCATTGGGATCCCCTTTTCCATATTAAGCAGTTGCTGTCCTCACTGCTCACGTCTCTCTTCTTCGAGTGGGTGCGCACGCGCGGGTGCGTCCTACAAGCAGGTTCCTGACGAGTCCGTTTTCCTACAAAAAGGCAGGAGGGTGCTGGGGGTGAGGTGGTGGCAGGGTCTGTCTTCAAACAGGAGCCCAGCAATTCTGAGTTCCCAGGCCCCCCAGCCAGGGCTAACCAGAGGCCACCGCCTATAAGGTTGCCGGAGAAGCCTCAAGTGCCCAGCACCAAGGTGTCCCTGCCACACACACATACGTGCAGACCTGTGTGTGTGCGCGAGCTTTCAAAACCAAGGTGTTCATGAGGCGAGGCCCCTCAGGGGTGCTGGGGCCTGAGGCCAGGGAGGCAGCTCCATTGGCAGCACGCTTGCCTAGCTGGGGTTGAACCCCCCCCACCTGTAATCCCAGCACTTAAGAGGGGGAGGCAGGGGATCAGAGGGCTAAAGTCGAAAGTCATCCTTGGCGGTGTAGTGCAGAGTCACAGGACACCATGCGTTCCCTGTCTGCACTGGCCCTGTCCCATCCCCATTCCCGCCTTTGCGCTGGTTGTCATAGGCTGTCGAAGCAGTGTGGTCTCCTGTCAGTCTGCCCACGGAGGTTGGAGACTGGCAGGAGGAGAGGCGCCCACACCCTCTCCTTGATGGCTGTGTCTGCGGGCAGCTGCTTATCCCAACATTTGCTGACTTCCGTGGCTTCCCCCCCCAACAGCTTATCCCAACATTTGCTGACTTCCGTGGCTTCCCCCCCCCCCCAACAGCTCTGGCTCCCGTCTGGCAGGCCCCGGGCAGCACCTTCTTAAAGCTCAGCTTTCCCATCATCACCCTCTGTTCCACCATCCGAGGCCAAGCCACGCCCAACCCCACATCACCGCCCTCCTGCCCCTCCCACATCCCCCACCCCCACCCCCATTCCTGGGGCCTCCTAATTCCTTCAGTGAGTGGAAGAATTCAGGCCCCAGCTGGGTGTGAGAGATCACAGCTATCATTCCAACACTTGGGAGGTAGAAGCAGGAGTTCAAGGACAGCCTTGGCTACATAGTAAGTTCAGGGCCAGCCTGGACTGCCTGGATCCTGCCTCAAAACCAAACACACACCTTTAGTCCCATCAGAGAGAGGACTAAAGTTTAAATAGACTTTGATCTCTGTGAGTTCAAAGCCAGCCTGGGCCTATGTAGCAATTTTTCAGGCCAGCCAAAGCAATACAGTGAGGCGGTGTCTCAAAACAAACAAAATACCAGCATCCAAGAAACAAACTAACCCTCAGGTTCCCTGCCAGGCCTGTCTGGCCTATGGCGTCTCACACTGTCTGCTGCCTCAGCTCTCTCCAGCTCTGCCAACACCCCCATCACCTCAGCAACTCAGATCAGACACCCACTCTGCACACCCCACCCCCATTTCTAACTCTGTGTCTTCAAACCTTGGTTTCCACTGTCACCTCTCAGCTGGCTGTAGCCTCTCAGCTGATGGCCTGCCTCCCACAGTCCACCTCCCTCCTACAGCACCCAGAATGACCTCAAGACGTAGCTCAGGTCCTGTCCCTTACCTAGCACCCACAGTGGCAGTCCACCCAGAGTCTCCTCATCCGGGACCCATCAGGATACGTCCATGGTTAAAAGGTAAGGTCTCTAAGTGCTCTGCCGGACGGACCCGTCCTCAGGTCTGACGGCAGGAGGTTTTAGATGTGGCTGACAGATGAGAAGCTGTCCTTGACAGGAACAGACTGGGCAGAACACATCAGGGAGGCCATCACTGCCCAGAGGGAGCTGAGTGTCTCTCTGTCTTTAGCAATTGACGCTCAAACTTCAGGGAGCCGAGTCATGTTGTCAGACGGAGACAGAGGACAAAACCCCGCAGAGCAGAGCCTCCTGACGGAAGTGGGCCCCCTGGCCAGGACTGCAGGAGTCCTCAGGTCCACGCTGAGCTGACACTGCAGGGGTGTGGCTGGCCCCACAGCTGCTAGGGTCTGTGCCCTAGCACAGGTGTGACCTTGCACTGTCGAGGCAGTTCAGGGAGAAGCCCCAGGATCCACTGGCCCCTCCTGGTTGGGGATCTGCAGGGAGACATCTCTCAGAGAAGTGGCTTGTCCCTCCTGGTCCTGGCTTCCCAATAACTCCCCCAATGCCTCCCCAACCTCCACTCCCTCCCTCTCCCCCATTCACTCCCCTCCACTCCCCCATCCCCCCCACTCCCACGCCTCTCTCATCACCCAAGGCATAAAGACTCAGCATGAGCCAAAGAGACAGGTGCTTGTCTTTAGCTCTTTTCTTTTAAGAAGAAAAACAATGAAAAAGCAAAATCCAGGAAGTCAGGGAGGGAGGGGAGAGCTGAGCCTGTGTTCTGAGGAAATGTTATATCAGCGAGTTAACCCTCCCCACACCCCCAGATGTTATATCAGCGAGTTAAACCCTCCCCACACCCCCAGATGTTATATCAGCGAGTTAACCCCTCCCCACACCCCCAGATGTTATATCAGCGAGTTAACCCCTCCCCACACCCCCAGATGTTATATCAGCGAGTGAACCCCTCCCCACACCCCCAGATGTTATATCAGCGAGTTAACCCTCCCCACACCCCCAGATGTTATATCAGCGAGTTAACCCTCCCCACACCCCCAGATGGAAACAGGAAGGCCACAAAGCTGACCCACCCCCTCTCAGACAGCACCAGCGCTGCCTAACCCTGGCCTTCTGACCCCCATCCAGTTCCCCCCACCCCCCTGCAGCTCCTCTGCTCAAGATCCTGGGTGCCAGACCACAAATCTACCCCCCCATCCTGTAGGAGGGCGCTCCCTAATGGTGGCCCTGCATTGTTTGGCAAAGCCCCAGTGGTCTCCTTGAATCTCAAGAAGTGGCACTTAGGGGCTGGCTCTCTTGCCCCCTCCCCCAGAGAGAGTTTAGCCCCTGAGGAGGTTGAGTTGTGTTCCTGGTCTCCTCGCTGATCTCTGACCTTGGATCAGGCTGGACACAGGGTTCTAAGCGCTGTAGGTACTACAGGATGGGCAGTGGACAAAGGGGTAGCTGAAGTCAAGGTACAGTGAGCCAAGGCCAGACCCTGAGGTAGATCTGAGGGACCCAGAAGAGCATGGACACAGACAGGGCAGACGCTGTAACCCCAGCACCGCAGGGGTGGGGGCCAGAGGGTCAGGACTCAAGACCACCCTTCTATACATATGGCCTGGTGTTCAATTCCCAGCACCCACATGGCAGCTCACAACTGTCTATAAGTCCAGTTCCAGGGATCCAATTCCCTCTCCTAGCCTCCAGGGCATCAGGAATGTGAATATTGTACAGATATACACGCAGACAAAACATCCAAACATATAAAAATAAAATTAGTGGGTAGTAGGTTTTTCCTAATCCCAAGGGTTGTGGGACCTTGAGAGCTGGGTGCAGCCAGTCTGGAAAGCAGGTCTCCCCCACCCCTGCCCCATCTGTGGGTCCCTCCTTAGGCTTCTGTCCTTTCCAGACATTAAAAAGCAATTATTCTTAATTATGTGTAGGGATGTGCATGTATGTGTATATGTGTGTGTGTATTTGTGTGTTTGTGTGTGTTTGTGTATGTGTGTATTTGTGTGTGTTTGTGTGTGTGTATTTGTGTGTGTTTGTGTGTGTGTGTGTGTGTGTGTTCGGTTAAAGAGACCAGAGACATTAGTTCCCTTGGGACTGGAATTACATTTGTGAGCCACCATATGGGTGCTGGGAATTGAACTCAGGTCCTCTGGAAGGGCAGCAGTGCTCTTAACCTCTGAGCCTCCTCTCCAGCCCTTTACTCCACCTGACTAACCCTCCTGCCCTGTCCAGACTATTAGCTCCATAATGAGCTGTCCTCTCCCTGTGCACAGCATCTGCAGTGAGGTTGCAAGCCAGTCCCATAGCGGCCTGGTCCCTCTGCCGGAGACTCTTAGAGAAAGCAGAGCCTTTCCCCCGGCACAGCACAGGTGAGCGGGCTGCTGCCCTGAGCTTTGACAAACTGGCCCAGGGTGGGTCTGACATGCTAGCGGCTGAGGGGAGAAGGGCTAGGATCGTCCTTCTAGGGGTCCCCTTCCGGGAAAGCTAAGGGGCAGGTCCACCATGTCGGGAACGCTTCAGCAGTGACAGCCCACACTCTTCTTCCTTGTCGCAGCTCTCTCCTTTGCTTGAGTACCCTTGAACAAGGGGCAATTATTCCAGAGACCCAGCAGGCTATGTTTTCCTGCCCTGAGGGAAAAGGGAAATATGTCCAAGTCTATTTGTTTAAATTATTCAACCCTCGGAGCACCGAGGTGCGAGAGCATAGCAGGGCTTGCCAGCGCTCAGCCGTCAGCACCACGGACAGCGCTCCAGGCCGGGCGAGGGCCCGGTGGAGCAGGCTGGAAGCTGGGGAGGAGGGGCCCTTTCTTCCTCTCTTCCCTCTTTCAAGGCAGCTTGAAGGGACGCTGGGTAAGGCATGTCACTGCCCAGCCCGGTTGTCTGGTAATCAGCCATCCTCAGTGCCCTGCATGGAAAGGCAATTAACGCAAGAATTAAAAAGCCATCGTGTCATTTACATTCCAATAGCACGGCTGGCCTGAAAAGGAGCAGGGAGAGGGGCATGAGGAGACAAGGAGGGAAGGGTGACTCAGAAAGGGAGGCCAGGGTGGCGCAGGGAAGGAGCCTGAGACTCCCGTGCCTTCGGATAGGTCGTAAGGATGAGCCTTGTGGCCCCAGCCCGTGGCTCTGCGACCCTACCTTAGCAAGGGTCTCCTCTCTTCTTACACTGACCAGAACAAGGAGGCTGTGCGGTGTCCCCTCCTCAGTGTGTGTGCAGACACCTCAGAGCTGAGCAGAGAGCTGACGTGGGGTAGTTGGTCAGGCGGCCCGAATTACTCAGAGCTGGGTTTACTGACTGGAGTTCATCCACCCCCTCAATTAAACATGGCCACACTGCCAGCCTCATTGGCCTTCCCACAACTCAGCAAGGCTGTCTCCCAACATGAGAAAAAAAGAAAGAAAAAAAGAAAAAAAACCCTCATGATCCCTGCACAAAGCCATTCTGGCCATCCTGCCTTTGGTTGGCTGTGTCTAGAGAATCCACGAACACTCCTTAAGGTCTAAGCTTGAATCTCCTTTTCACTCCCAAGAGAGCCAGAAAATTCCTCATCTGTTCGGATGACGTTAACCCTTTTCCCATCGCCGAAGCCTCCTGCAGTAAGCTCCCTGTCACCCGCTGACTGCCTTGATGTGGCTCAGCAGTGTGTATGTGTGGGGGGGGGGGGGCTTCCCTTTCATTCCCATCGCCTTAGTGAGATCCAAAAGCAGAGGATTCCGGCTTGATGGGAGCTGCTCTTGCAGCCTGTGCCTCCAGTCCCTTGGGGGGCTTACATGTGTCTATTTAACGCAAAGCTCCCTGTTCCTCGCCTTTTCACGGAGACAGCTGTGAGTATGCGAAGGAGCCTTTCTTTGGGGTGGAATTCAGTCCTGACAGCCTGACTTTTGTGAGCCAAGCCCTGTGTGAAGAGTGATTACAGGGACAGTCTCTGGGATGGAGAAGCCTGAGTGCTGAGGTGTTCTCTCAAAGTCCTGTAGGATTTCTGGCTGCAATCTCCCCACAATTTGTTTGCTCTTTCAAGAAGAGCAAAAACCTTATTCTAGGAAAAGGAATGGACACAGCCCGGGGGGGGGGGGGCTGCAAGGTGTCGTCTGCAGGAAGCTGCCCAGCCCTTCCTAGGTTGGGTCTGGAGAAGGGGACGCCCCCAAAGCCATCCTGTCTGTGTCTAACCACACTGCAGGGTGGACATGGGACCCTGCCTTTGTTTGCACTGACTGATGTTTAGGACCTGCTTGCTGCAAGCTTTAGCCAGACACAGACCACTGCAGCTGCTGGTTAGTTACAGTGTTAGGGAGGCTCAGGCCAACACCCAAAAAGAAGCTAGACCCTGAACTCCACAGGGACCTGGGGTTCCGAGTGCCACCCACCCACACCCACACCTCAGTGCCAGATCTGACCCCCAAACTCGTGCGTGGGCTCACTTACCCTTGTCCACCAGTCAGTCCCCTCCACCCCCTCAGACCCCACGCAGCCACCCATCCCTGAGCTACAAAAGAAGTGGGTCCCCCCACCCCCACCCCCGCACAAGGCCTCCTCCTGTGACATCCCTTCACAGCTGTCCATCACAGGGGCTGCACAGGGCCAGCTGTTCCAGCTGCTGGTAGTACCCCGAATCCAGATGCCGTTAGCCCAGCAGATGCGGGGAAGGGAAACTGAGGTTCGCTGGAGTAATAAAGGAGCGGTTTGGACAGCTGGGCACTTTCACCGAGTCTGCCTTGGATCAAACTGACATATGAGGCAACGAGACTTATAAAATCTCTACCAAGACTTCTCTCCTCCTTCAACATGAAAGTGCAAACTTGCCCACACCGTGGACTTCCTTAATCGTTTATGAAAACGCGTCAGCTGTCGCTGTCTCCTTGTTCCAGTGACGGGGGCGGGGGGAGCTGCCAGCCAGGGGGTTGAAGAGGAAGGAGAGGCCTTTTCTTTAGTTACCCCATCACTTCCAGAGCCTCCAGAGCCGTCCACTGTCTGCACACATCCACCATCTCTGAAACACATAAATACATACACCTAAAACTCAGTCTCAATAGAGATCTGACGCCCTGAACTCGACTCACAGTAAGAGCAGAAGGAACCCATTCCACCCCACAGCCAGGGGCCCAGGAGGCCAGCTCCCAATGCCCGTGCACTGTCCCTGGAAGCAAAGTCATGTGTCACCTCCTAAAGCTTTGTAGCAATAGCTTTGTGATGAACTTTCATAAATAGAAAGGGAGCCCAGAAGTAAGGTAGGGACCAGGACATTTCTAGAAGTACTTCAACTGCCCAGAGAAATATTGACCAGGGAGTCAGCAGGGGTGCTTTTGATAGTCTGTGCTGCACCCCGGGTGGCCAGCACCCATAGTCAATAGTCTGGGAGGCTGAAGCGAAGAGAAATGCATTTTATCAGATCGTTTAGGGTCCAGGCTCCCTGTGCGTGTTTTGTGGACTCCACTGGAAATTGAAGATGTAGAGATGTTAACGCCAGCAGCAGATGTAACCCTTAAACAAGGCACTCGGCAAATTGGAAATTAGTGCAGGACGGATCCTCAGCCAGCTGTTCCCC